CACACACACACACACACACACACACACACACACACACACACGGGACAGTTTTAGGAGTCATTAACCACATGGTCTCTATAAGCTTCGGTGTGTTCTTTGGCAGGCAGCTGCTACACTGGTGACTGGCTGAGTCCTACAACACTGGTCTCAAGGCAGACACTGGAGCCTGAGGGTTGAGGACCAGGGTGAAACTGTCTCCAAACACATTTTGTATCATCTTGTGCTTAACATGTATCATCCCACAGGGTTGAGCTGGGAGTGGATTCCCTAGGATGAGAACGGAGTTCACCTTTTTTTGCTCTCTGGAGAAATGGATTCAGGGCCGGGTGCGGCTCAGTGGCAGAGTGCTTGTTTAGCACTCTGTGATGCCCTGGGTTCCATCCCCAGCTCTGAAACAACAAAAAGGACTGGATTCACCTGGTCCTATTCTTTCTTCCATGGTGCTGGGAGGCCAGGGCTTCCTCTGCAGCTCAGAGTTAAGGGTCACTTGAGACATCTTCACTGTCCCTGAGCCATGGGGAAGGTGAAACCTGTGTGAGTCTCTCTGGCAAACCTTGTATGCTTATGCTGTGCTGGAAGCAGTGCCCAGGCAGTCTCTTAGAGTTTCTCAGCAATGACTACAGAATTCACCCTGTGCCACCTCCAGGTATTCAGAGCTTAAAAGGCCATTATAGACCATAAAACTAAGTCCTATTTAATTAAATCAATGAATGTGAATAGTTGCATGTGCCCAGAGGCACAACGGCAATCGCCAGAGTCCTTACTGTGCATCTTTGAGGTAGTGGCCTCTGAGGGAAATCTGAGGTTATATGGGGCCAGGCAACTTGTGTGGGGCACTCATCTGGATTTTAACTCAGGTCTAGCTGACCTCCAGATCCAGAGAGACCCTTATTGTCTGTTTCGGGTGGAGGTTGGGATAGAACAAAATCAAGGCATAGTTTTCTCTGGTCCTGTCATGGGTGTGATGGCATGTTACCCCCGCCCCCCACCACTGGTGTTCAGAGGCTATTGGAGCTGCCTGTGGGGGCTCTTATGCCAAGAGCAAGTCTCCCACCTGGATCTGATCTCTTGTGGCTACAGGGCTGCCTGCCTGTGCTGGAATGCCACTGTGGTCGGCTCTCTTTAGGTGTTTGGCTATTCAGACCCACACAGGTGGGAAACTTCAGTCTCCTGTGGTTCTGCACACAGCCACCTGTGTGGATTCTGCCTCCTTCAGGCAGGAGACCCACCGCCTGCCCACGCCATATTGGTAAAAGGGTGTGTAGCCCCTGTTTTTGCATATCTTCCTGCCATGGTGTTGGGCTTCAGTGAGATTTCCATGATGTTCACATGAACAGTCTTAGGTTCATCTGAAGCAAACACAGAGGATAATTTTCTCAATGTCTGACTATTGGAATCTTTTTTTTTTTTTTTAAACTCCCTAGTTTTAGAGTCTGAAATGTCACTTTAGATTTTCTGAAAACCTAATGACTCGTTTCTTCTGGGAGAGCATGCTAAGAAGCAGTGCCCGCCTCTGCACGGCATTCTCGACTTGCTGGGGCTTCTTTATGAGGCCCTGACAGATGGGGCCCTACCTCAAGGTATGTCAGTTTTATTGACCAGAATGTTGAGTGTGTCAGCTCCTCAAAGCCGGGAGGTTCTTCAGAATGGGGACAGAATGTTCTGGCTTTCTCTGTAGAGACTCAGAGTTTCTGGTCTGGTGGGAATTAGGTAGGTAGAACATTCTTCCAGTTACTATAAATATAAAAAAGGTGCAAGGTGTGGTCCTGTCTCCTAGAGCTGATGCACCAGAAGTGGTAGGGAAGCAAAACTCACCAGATCTCCAGGCCCGACAACTTGCCTTGTTCAGACACTCTGGCTCTGTGTAGAGTGTGTAGTGTCCCCAGAATGCCGTGTAGAGGATAGGGCATGGCCCTCCTGTCTCCCACGATCTCTGTTGCTAAAGGGGCCTTCTGAGGATTAGAGGCCAATCACTCACAACTCTCAGGGGCCCTGTGAATGGCTGGAGAGACACAGCCTAGAGATGGTAGCAAGTGATGGACACCAACATTCTGCTTTGGTGTCTGGCAACACTGGGGAAAGGTGGGAACCAGAGGGCCAGAGAGGAAGGCCATGGCTGGTGTGGGCAGTTGTGGCAGGGTGAGCTGTGGGCACGCCCATGGGAGGCCAGGCCAGCACTGTGTCTTCTGTTAAGAGAAGCTGAGCACCTGCTGGGAAGTGTGAAGTCCAGCTTCTGAGATGCACATAAGGACTTAGAGCCACCAGAGAAGAACACACAGTGCTACCTGTCACATTAACATGTCTGAAGGCTGAATACTGTCCCTGGGCTACCAACATCCAGTAGGGAAACCGAGAGAAGAGGGTGGTCACTGTTTTCCATGGCCTTAGCTTTCCCAGGCCGGCAGAATGTCCTATTCTGGGGCCTTGGCCCTGAAGAAGGCTTGTAAAGAGTTGGAAGGAGCAACCCTGACTTTTCTCACCTGCCAGAGGAAAATGCCCAATTCTTTTTTGGAAATAAGAGTTTGATGACTTGAGGTGAATTTTGTGACAGATCCATCTATGGACATCTTGTCACAGTCACCATAGACAGATGAACACCTGCAAATATCCCTTTCTGAACTTACATGGCTCCCACTGCCCAGAGGGTAAAGGCTCACTCCCAATGGGCCCTGGCCTCCAACTGCATCTTCTGCCTCCCTGCTGTGCACACATGTGGTGGTCTGAGGAAGACCTTGAGTGCTGGTCCTTGTCAGACATGTACCCTACTGCATCCGGCTTTCTATGTGGGCTCTGGGGATCTGAATTCAGGTCATCAGGCTTATGTGGCAAGTGCCTTATCCTCTGAACTACCCCAGCCCTTGTCATTGGCTTATATCTGATGTGTTGAGGAGGTTCAGAGCCTGCATGACACTTGACAGTACTTTCAGAGGCTCCAGAGAGGTGGGAGCCACCAAGCTGTGACATGTATACTGACCCTATGATGCCCTTCCAGTCATTTCACAGGCTGCATACAAAGTGTCTGGGCTATGGAAACTTCATTATAGAGGTTCAGATACCCAGGTTAATACCTTCCCCAGGGAACTCAAAGCAGAGAATTAAATTCTAGTCAGAGTTTGCTGTTAAAAACAGATCCCAGCTCTGGCATCCTGGGATTCCTCTTTCACCCTGGGTGCTTGGTTGGGAGTTCTCATCCTTTAGCTTGCCCAGCCCTCTGGGTCTTGGATCCCTAGTCAGCCTCATAGAAGTAAATGCTCTTTTAACTGGGTGCCTGACCATTCGCTGGAGACTAAGGGATACTTACACACATGCTGGCTTCTCCTCCTGAACCAAAAACCTGCAGGTTCCATGGAAGCAGAACTGAGTGTGGGAATCTGGACACTCGTTGAAATGAGACACCACTGCAGCTGCCACGGGTGAGTCTGCTGGGGCAAAGAGACGTAGGTCAGATGTGGCACAGCTCACCCCCCTGCAAAACTCTCACTTCCAGATTGCTCAGTCAGGGCTCAGAGTCTTCATTAAGAAGTCAGGGTATTTTTCTAAGATTATAAAAGAATTTCCCCAAAGGCTTTGTTATAACTCAGACATAGCTAGCTAGAGTCATTTTTGCAAAGAAGCTCACTTTTTTGTTTTTAAATAACAGCCCTAATAAAAATTTGTTTGCAGCTGGGTATGTTAGCACACACCTGTAGCCCCAATACTCAGAAGGTAGAAGCAGAGGGATAGAGAGTTCAAGGCCAACCTACTCGGTATACTGAGTTTAAGGTCAGTTGGATCCCATTGTCTCAAAAACCAAAAAAGGGGCTAGAGAACTAGCTCAGTGGGAAAAGCACTTGGTGTGAAAACTCGAGGACCTGAGTTTAAGCTCTAGTACCCCCACAAAAAGACATTGCAGTGAGGATTGTGATTCCCGCACTGGCGTTGGGGCAGTGCTCTGTGCCTTGTGGCAGAATAAGCAAGGATACTCCTCACTGGACAGAAATACACTGACACATGCACAGAAGGGGCTCAACTTTCCTGCTTCCATGTTCAGAGAGTTTCTGAAGGAGACATTATGAGAAATGGCAGATAGTCTCCTCAACAATGTCCTCAAATTCATGCAGAAGCACCTGCCAGTTCTCCTCTCCTGTGTCATCACATGGAGTCCACACCATGCTAAACTCCATGTAACATCCGCAGTGAGGGCAGGTGACACCTGATCTCTGCCCTTTGAGCACAGGGTGAGAACGAGAAGCCTGCTGCTTAGTGTGTACACTTCTGGTTCATTTTTTTTTTTTTTGAGCCTCATGTAGCCCAGGCTGACCAGAATTCACTGTGTAAGTGGGCTGACCTTGAACCCTTGATTTTTCTGCCTCCACTTCTCAAGTGCTGGGATTGTAGGAGTATGACACCACACCTGGTTTATGTAACCCTGGGGATGAAACCAGGCATGCACTCTACAAATTGGCTTTATCCCCAGTCCACTTCTGCTGCTTAGAGTGCAGGCTTCCAGACCTTTCTGATGCCCTCTGTCCTCTTCAGGACAAAGGTCTGGGAAAGGATGAAGTCCGATTTGAAACTTTATCAGAAGTTTAACAAATTTCTGGACTACAAAAATAGCCCACTGAACCCACCAATATACAATAAAAACCACCACAGGGAATAAAGCACATCCTTAATCCTCAACTCATCTTGTCACAAAGACACAAACCACACACTTGTGAGCTTACATTCCTGTCCTGAAAGTCAAGTGCAAACACACTGTACCTGGGAAACTGCCCTAGTCTGGGACTCATAGAAGTGTTTGTAGCCACTAAGGGCACCTCACAGTGCACTCAGATCCACAGACAAGCCTACTCCTATTGATGTTCAAGGTGAGAAGGCTGGGGTGGCTCTGCTCTGTGCCAAGTACTTAACTCATTAATGTCAAGGCAAGGCAGGGTGGTGGGGGAGGGTAACATTGCCTCTAGCTTGTCAAAGTAAGTTTACGAGGACACACCAATTTCCCAATATCTTCCCCCGAGGTTGGGTCTCTCAGCTTCTTTTTCTCCTTTTACTCTTTTAAATGAAAAGGTGTGAATGTGTGTGCATGTGACTGCAATTGCTGGCAACTGAATTGGAGTTTTCTGGAAGAGCATTACTGCATCTTAACCACGGAGTCACATCTCCAGCTCTTTCTCTTTAAGAGGGTGTTATGTAGCCCAGGCTGGCCCCGAATTCCTATCACTCTTCCTACCTTAGTTGAGGGCTAGGATTCTAGGTGTGTACCATCACACTGGTCACCTTCTTTCCCTTGCCCCACCCTCCTCTCTCTCCTCTTTATAAAAACTCAATAAAATTTCAGAGATGGAAGGAATGCTTTTCTACCCAGGTAGAAAAGGGGTGAAGGCTACTGGGCAGCATGCAAAGAAAGGCTGTCCTGTCCCTCTAGTGCAAATGCAGGGCTGGGCAAGGCTGGCCCAGTTCCCCGCCCTGGGCCATCTCGGGCAGGCACCATGTCTGATTAGCTCTGGGCCTGATAGGAAAAGCAAATGTTCTGGTTGGGGAGCAGCTCAGCACCAGGCACTTGTTAGCAGCTGGAGTTTCAAAGCTGCTCAGTTCCTGTTGTTGTGAAGTTTGTGAGAGGCCCCTACATCCTGGAGACCTGACACTCATCTTGCAGACATCACTGTTCCCTGGGGAAGCTGTGAAAGAGAGACCACAGACCCACTAATAGGGCCTAGAGCACAGCCCAGCTCACAGAAAACGTCTGGAATAGCAATCAGGGGGTGAGGAAATCCCTGCTTCAATCCACAGGGGGTTCAGGAGTCTGGACAGACACCATCTGCAGTGTCTTTGGGAGTTGGAGTGGAGGAGCTCCAGGGTTGCAGCAGCCACACCCCTGACTGGTCTTGAGGAACAGTCCTAATTGGCCTATGTGTTTAGCTCATTTCGGGGCCTACAAGGCTGTGACTTCTTCACTTTTCCCCAGATGTAGTGTTTGCCAATTGTAAAGCTGACATCATTTATAGCCCTTTCGTCACTTCCTCTAGTAGCCCAAGTAACTTTCCAACAGTTACAACATGACATCTAGCAGGATTGTCTGGCCAAGGCTAGCAGTCAGAAGCAACAATAGCAGAGTGTCTGTGAGGAAAGATAAATTAATGAATACGAGAGTCCCCCAGCAGCCCCCTGCATAGCCAGGGAAAAGCAGACACCAGAAGAAGTCCCCCCCAGCCCCGACCTGCAAGGCTAGACAAGTACTTCATGCTGAGGCCAGGCTGGAGGCCCCGTGGTCAGGGAGGCTGGGTTCAGGGCAGCAGACCTGGCTACAGACCTTGCTCAGGACATGATATGGCCACAAGTAAAGGAACAGCAGAGGCCTTCCCCAGAGGGAAGAAGTGCCACACTAGGCTTAGGGATGAATGGCTCAGGTCTCTACATGTACCCATTGGTGAGTGGGACACTTGTGGGTGGGTGAGAGCAAGCCTTTGTTTGAGACAGGGTCTCATTCTAGCCCAGGTTGACTTCAACCTCAGAACAGTTCTCTTGCCTCAGTCCTTAAAGTGCTGGGGTTATAGGCCATGAGTCACAATGCCCAGCTCAGTGGGACTCTACAAGTGATCTTGAAGAAGAAGGATGCCATTGGCACTGTGAGGCCATACCACTGACCTTTACCAGTCAGAGGAGCATCCCTGCCAGTGAGGTCCACTCCTGCAAGACGGCCGGTAGGCCTCAAGGGGAGCCAAACAAGTCATCAGAGGATGAAAAAGTGATCATGTCATTTCTGCTGCTGAAGCTGGTAAAGTGTCTTATTCTCAGGCTCTACCAGCTGGCAAGGGGAAGCCCCAGGTTCTCAGTGTACTGACAGACTTCCTTTACTTGAATGATAAGATGGGCCAATAAGATGGCTCAGCTGGTAAAGGTGCCTGCTGCCAAGCCCAATGACCTGAGTTGGATCCCCAAGACCCACATGATGGGAGGGGGGTCCTCTGACCTCCACACATGTGCTGTGGCAGCACTCCCCCATACACACCCCTGTAATAAACAAACAAACAAATAAATACATGTAAAGGTAAATGTGTTTCCTATAACTGAATCCCAGGACACAAATGTTCTAGGCCTTTCAACTCTTTTCCTCGTACTGGCTGATTTCAACCCAGCCTGTATCCATCAGTTCCCTGCCTATAAACTGACTTTAGGACACCTGCCAAGCCCTATATTCTCATTTAAGGGAAAGGGCTCTTCATTATTTTGCCAAACCTCGGACCACAGTATAGCCTGTGGCTAGAGTCTTTCAGGTGCAGAAACTAGCACTCAGATAAGCTTCCAGACAGTTAGAAAGTGCTAGAACAAGACACTTAGCTTGTTTTTCTTTAACTTTGAGCAAATGAAAAGCCATAGGAAGTCAGAATGATGCCTGAGTCTGGATGGCAAACGCTGGGAGCATACGACCAAAATCAACAAGTCCTGGTGAGCATTGGGAAGGGCATACTAACAGAAGCAGCTCCTAGCAGCAGGGACAACTTTAGGAGAGATGAGAGGCAATTCTGCTGTTCAGAAGAGGAAACTGAAGATGGTGATTTCTCATTCCCACAAGGGAGCAGCAGCCAGACCCATACACAGGTGCAAAAGAGATTTCTAGATGCATGAGGAGTGGTTCACTGAGTAGTAGCTGGGGTGTGCTGGGGGTCCCATCCATGACATGTGATCTGCTGGCCACTGGACCTCTGTGTAGTGTGGCACTCAGACCCAAGAGGCCTGGAGCTTCTGATTTAGGGCAGGGGTTGGGTGGAGCCAGATGCTTTCTGCAGCTTAAAGAAAGACCCCAGGGACCTTGCAGGGAACAACTGGACCACTTGGATTTCCCCTGCTCATTTCTAGCTCCAGGCAAGATCCAATATATAGGATTGAACCAAGTTCAAAGATAAGTGCCATCTTCTACTGTCCTACAAAGATACTGGCTACTTTGGCCCCTCCTCAGCTTTAGGAAATGAGACACACAGTCAAGGATTCACTGCCACTGGTGATACCATGCCTGGAGGTGCTTACTTTAAAGTCAGAGGCCATCAAGTTTGAAGCCTACTTCTGTCTCAAGAAGAAAATTGTACAGACATGTGTTGCTGGGACCCTGTTGTAGCCGAGACACCTGAGCTTACTTACAGTTTTAATCTAGATTTTCTGAGGCTGGGCTATGAGGGTGATAGCTAATGTTACTAACAGTAGCTGTTGATGGATTGTCTTAACTACGCTCAGCATGGCTACATGAGGGGATTTAAACAGAGGGTGGTGACATTGGTTCAAACCTGCTCACTCAATAAATGGCAGAGCTGAGACCTGAACTTCTGGGTGGTCACTCTGGCTCTTCCTGACACTTACCTGACTGTCACTTCAGGGTGTGGATATGTGAGAAGAGGGGCAAGAAATCCTTAGTGGACACCACCACACACAGACGACTTGTTTGGAG